CGACAACAGATATCGCTTTCATTAGAAAATACGTTTTTATTTATTTTATAATAATGTACATTATTTGTGTGTTCTAGACGGGATTTACATGTCCTCCATAGCATAAAATGGCAGTTGGGCCATAGATTATTATATTATATATATATATATATATATATATATTTGAAAAATTGAATGATCGCTGTTACACTAATTACATATTTATACACAATTGGTAAAAAACTTTAACAAAGAAATAGATTGGTACACTGACCGGCACAAAAAACTACTCACTTAGAATTATAAGTAATTAATTGTCTTAAATTTTTTTGTATAATGTCTTATTGATAAGTTTTATTTAAATAATTCTTTGGCAAAGAAACACAAAATTGACACAAAATCGGGACTAATTTGTGAAAAGACAGTACTTGGTTCCACTGTTCCATATCCCAATTCACATGTTTATGTGTGAATGCAAGTCTGCTGACTTGATGCTGCCTGGTAAGCTCTGGGACATGTGCAGGTCTTCTGGCCATGATACTAGTTTTATTGAGGCGTCTCATGATAATTCTGTCACTTACATGCACATCTTGAATGTTCATCATCAGTCATGGCCCTGTTACGTAGTATTGCTAGGGTAAGGAGTAGGTAGGCGAAAATAAACATAGATATAATTTCAAGATGATTTATTTAAAGAAACTGTAGTGAGTTGTTTTTTAAGCCGGTCAGTATATATATGTTTTTTTTAAATAGATATCCCACAGATCACAAGTCGGTGTCAGTATTATGTGACTGACTAACCTTGATTACATCTACGAAAAGAGATGATATGCGTTGAAGTCTTTTTAATTGTTATTATTTATTTCCTCATATAATTAAAAATTTTGGTATCTAGGTATAAAGAAGAAAATATAATTTGAAAACCATTTATGCCTGGTCATCATGATTTGGCATTTCTGTCAAACCATCTAAATGTCAAGCAATGCTTGTTGACAGCTCAAGAATACTGGCAAAAGTTGACGTTAGTTGTTTGCCACCCGTATTTTATAATGATAATTTGATCCCGTTCTCTGACTGGGTAAAAACTTGGGTTTGTACATGGATAAAACCTTGAACTGGGAAAAACAAGTCACTGAGGTCATCCATAAAGTAACTGCTGCCTTAAGATCGCTCTAACCTCTGAAAAACTTTCTCCCATACAAAGCTAAGCATATGCTTGTTCAAACACTCATCTAACCTGTCATGATGAGATGTTTGTTACTCAGACTTGAACCAAAATCTTCTCAATAAGTTTGAGCGCCATCTTAATCACTGCAGCAGGTTTATTTTTGGCCTTCAAAAATATCACCATATCTCTCAATTTCGCATTTGCCTTAAATGGCTAACTATCCGAGAAAAGCGCACTTCCAGAACTCCTTGCCTGAAGACTGTTCCGGGAACATCTCTCAAAAACAACGTCGTCAGCATAATACCAATACTGTTACCTTTACGAGTATCCAGACATATTATGTATATATGTATTTATGTGTGTGTATATGTATATATGTATTTATATATGTGTATATGTATTTATATACTGGCTGACTAGTACCGTATATTTGTGTATATATTCGTACCGCCTAATAGTCGATTCTTTAATTTTTTTAAATACTTATTCTGCTATTCTGGACACGGGTTCTGCTAGTAAGATAAAAAAAGTTGATAAGTCAACAATTACATTATGTCAAAAAATAAAAATTATAATTATTTTACCTTCCCAGAACCCCTCCACTTACACTTAAACTTTATGGTATGGTATTAAAGTTCAAATTGACTTTTAAGTATTATTACGAATCTTTTGTATGGGAATATAGAAAAGTATTATTTTTATACTTTTTAGGCAAGTTTTTCAATTTTTCTCTCCGTAAGAACCATGTTCGTACATCAAGGAATATTATTAAAAAAAAATATTAGCGAAATCGGTTCAGCTGCTCTCGAGATTTGCGCTTACCAACACATGCAGCGATTCATTTTTATAGGTGTTATATCTATATAAATTTATTATATTTAGTTACTTAAGTCACCTGCCACTAATTTCTCACCAAGCCGTGGGTTGACTGGCAGAGAGTGCTGACTGGCATTAAGTTTGCCATTTTTAACCTTTTTATTGCTTATAACAATAAAGGTTTCAAATAAAATAAATAAGAAAACTTTTACGTTATAACATTAATCAATAGATTTGTATGTACACATATTTTTGTTTTAAGTAAATACACTATTTGGTTATTATCTATGAAAGTGCTGTTTTTTTAAAACTGGTTACATTGACGTTCGATATCTTGTATTCGATTAGGAATTCTATTCATTCATTCATTCATTACAGCCTATCAAATGTCTATTACTGGATGTAGGTCTCCCTCATAGATTGCCTTATAAATACCCCCTAGTGCATCACAGTGCAAACGCACAAGAAACCTTTTTCCCACACTGAATGATATTGAAAGGCTACGAACATTGACTCCAACTAACTTCTACCTTACGCAATTTCTCACCGAACACGGTTATCATAGAACATATCTTTTTTTTTCACTGTTTTAAAATCATTAAAAACGATAAATGTCCGTGCGACAACCGCACCGTTCAGACGTTGGAACATCTATTGGAAAACTGCCCCGTTTTCTGCCGATACAGAATACATCATGAATTACTGTGCAATAACTTAAGAGTGTCGCAATACAAACTCACAGAGCTGATGAGGAAGGAAACGGCTCTGGATTCCTTCATAAAACTTAATGAAAATGTACTTAAGTACCTAAAGAACTTTAATAAGAATGTAAATAGCGGTAACAATGATAAAATTAGTAAGTAGGTATAAAGTAATTATAAATTAAAGAATTTATAAGGTTTAGAATGTCTTTCCCTTCTCTTTCATTACTGTTTTTTTTTTTGTTATTTATCTACTAGTTTTTATAGTTATATAGACTAAGAAGAGGTAATATTTTACAATGTCTTTTTGTTTGTCGTTATTAGTTTGTTTAATTATTGTTTTATAATTATAGATTAAGAATATGTAAGGTTTTACAATGCCCTTCTGTTATCTTTTATTACTGTATCTATTGTCAATCACATATGGAAAATTTCTATATTATTACTATGTTAATTGTAGTACGCAGTTGCAACTGCTATTAGTTTTTTTTTTTTGTATATGCATTACGTGCCACTAAATAACATATTTTAATTAATTAGTTTAAAAGTTTATAGAATAGTTCATCCTACTTTCACACACTTATTATACAAATTCATTTTATATACTTAAATCTACGATAATCACTTTCATCAATTTGTTCAAACCATTACTTACAAAACCTAAAACAATATGCAATATTTTTGTTAAAAACAACAAAATAGAATTAGTAGTAATAGAGAGTGGAAGAAAATTACGTATCAAATAGCGTAAATCATTTCTCCACTCTCAGTGTATAATAAAATTATGAAAATTGTGCGACCAATGTAAAATGTCTATGGAAAATTGACAATATATTCCCGCTGGGGGTGTAAACTCCAACGAAAACCAAATAAAAAAAAATATTGCCATAGTTGTAACACAGTTACTCATGTTTCGTTTTCCCTCTGTCGCCACTTGTGCCACCTACGAGATGATATTAGGTGATTGATATTCTTGATATAGCTGTGGATACATGTCATCTAAAAAATTCGCTTTGACGTGTATTTTAAACGAGTTCTAAAAACGAGGAAGCGGTATTTAGTTATGAGGAAACCTGTGTTCAGTATAGACATTTATAGGCTGTAATTGATTAGATATATGCTTTTCCTCTTAGTAATTTAAATACGTATGCCGTGGCCCGGTCGTTAAATTGATCACGCCATATAGCGGCTGAACATTTATATAAAATATTACACTAGCCATTGTCTATAATATCATGACATGCCTTAGCGTGATCGATGGATAAAGATCATTTTACGAAATGGAAAACAAAACTATACATACCTAACCATAACTAAACTATTTTATGGTGTGACCAAATATAATGATCTCATAAGTGACATTGTCCACCACTTATGTTAACAATGTCTTATCACTGTGTGCCTAAAACATATTATGTTATATTAATATACGCAGCTTTCCGGGACCTCATCTGTCCCTGACATTAGTAAATATGCATTTCCTTATTCATGATATTTCTGATATTAATTGACTATATATTGAAATGCGTTTAATGAAATTTTTATACACGCCAGAGACAAACTACTATAGCTGTAGCATGAATGCGTCTGCTTTACCGGGGAAGGACCACGTGCTCACAGTTTATCAGCGAAAAATAGCAGTTTAATACTACCGTAATACGTTTGGAAAAGTGTAGAGAACCGGAGAACTTTTTTGATAGAAACGAGACATTCCATATTAGTCCTCAATAGTGACGACGCATCGGCATTTCGATTATTAATGGAGGCCAGATATGCCATAGTATCCACATACCATCAGGTAGACTGTGTTCTCATTTGTCACCCCTATTCTATGAAAACAATAGTCGGGCACATCATGGAGTAATCAAATGAACGATCGGGCCACGATAATATACAGTAAATGCTAGGTCACGTTTTACCCTCTGGAAAATTATATCTTCAATAAAAAGGTTTAGTAACCAACTGAATTCAATATTGTGAGGCTTTATACCTCAATGACAATAAATGAATTCCCTTCCAGTATTTGTTTTGCCTTCCGGAACACTTGCCTTGCGTAGAGATGAAAATTATTAAAAAAAGGGATCTCTGCAAATTTCCTTTGGCCTTTTGTTCAAAGTGATTGCGAAATTACACTGCAAAGGAAAATTAAATTCAGAACGAATGCAGAATAAATATATTTTTATTTCAAACGATTCTATTTTATTTTGAAAGTTTTATGAATATCTTTGAAATAAAATGAAAAAGATGAATAAATGTTTAAACTGTAATTTCTTATACTAATTAAGTGTACTTACGCATACTAATTAAATCTCTTATTTCAGGCGGACAGATTCAAAATGGTGAGTTTTATGGATAAATAATTTTATTTTTCATCTCTCTATTTAAAAAAAAGCAATACTAGAGTACATTTAACACTATTGATTTAATAATTTCAACTAAGCCTAAAACGCTTGTGTATGGACGACAGTAGTCGTATGGCGGATTCGAACCCACGACTTTTAAGTTTCACAGTCGGTATCCTTATCCTTAATAGGGCTACTGTCGCCTTTTGTTTATTTTTTTTATGATTGTTCGCCATTAGAATGACGCCTGCAATAGTATTAACGCACTTATTCGTTCGTGCATTATGTGGCTCATATCTGCATTAACCATTGGATACATATAATATTATAATAGCCGTGGTAGCTCAGGGGTTAGCCGCTTGCCTTAAACATTACTCGAGCAATCCGGGTTCGATCCCCGTCGGTACCAATGAAATTGTTAATTGCAATTTTAAGCGCTGATTTACCACGTGTATGAGCAGCGCAGTGGACTAACAACACTAACACCTTTATAGAAATGGTAGGAGGCCTGTGCCCGTCAGTGGGACACATAGGCTGTGACTTTGTGTTAATCAACGATGATGATAAAATTTTTTGACAAGTGATACTATTCCAAGTACATATAAAGTAAAATAATTGATCGTTTCCTCTGTCAACTCCCGTTCTTTCTTTTTTTTCAGTACGGATTCGTCAACTATGCTTTGGAACTCCTAGTGTTACAATCGTTTGGAGAGGAGACATGGGAAAAAATAAAGTAAGGAAAGGAAACATACAGTTATAATAATACATAATATGTTCAAATTGAGTTATTACAAAAGCCAGTTAAGTTTTCACTAATTTATAATAACATTGGTACTAGATCATTGGGCAGAAATACTGAAATACAATAATTGTTTTTATGTCACATATTTTAAAGATAATAATAAAAAAATTAATAATGAAAGAAAATGTTAAACATAGGTACTATGTAAATTGCTCGATAGCTGATATAAACTTAAAAATGTTCAAATTAAATATATCTAAAGTATTATAACTTTGGTTATAGAAATTAGATATTCTAACAATAAATCGATTTCCTGCATAGTTAGTCTTACAAACAGGAATGTAAAAGGTCGATTTTAAACTAAGCCGCAGATTGATCCTACGATATTTTATATTATTTTACTCAATAAGTATGGGGATTCAACATAATTATTAAGAGATTTATGTTATCGATATAATATAGAAATTTAAAAGATTCTTTATCCTATTAAAAAAAAACTATAACTGGTACAATAATAACAGTCACAGCATTTATTACAGATACGTAAAAAAACTGTAGCAAATTTGTCATATACAAATTTCACCTAAAAAGCTATAAGTAAGTGGAACAGTGAATCATTATGATGTCCTCGTATATTTTAATAGTGTAATGGTGATGTAAGAATATCCACTGCCCCATATCGTCAGGTGTGTGTTGTAAGAGGTGACACAGGGAAACAAACCAGGAGAGGGGCAATAGAGTCTACATTATAACAACTAAAAAAAACTACGGTTGCCAAATTTCCTGCCAAGCGCTAACTATAGCAATGTCCCCTCTATGAAATAATCTAAGGGGAACCCTTTGTTCAGCAGTGGACCTTTAATAGACTGTAACGTTGTTATTAGGAAGACGCTGTTGCCCATCACCTGGTGTGTTCCCCTCTGTCGCCTCTCACACACAAGGAACGGTATGTGGTTGTATACAACACCGTCCATACACTATACTTATACGGCTCTCTCTCTCTCTCTCTCTATATATATATATATATATATATATATATATATATATATATATATATATATATATATATATATATATAGAGAGAGAGAGAGAGAGAGAGGAAGCTAAAAGTAATATTATAATACATCATTTTTCGCAGAACCAAAATCCAAATATATACAAAAGCAGACAATGAAAACATTTGTTGGTGCAAATTGAGTTTGTATTAGTTTGTTATTGCTTTGAATTCACGAAGGGAAAGTTACACGAAACGTGCATTAACGAAATCCCTAACAAAATTACAGCTCATAAATGTTCTACGTATTTCTAGGAAAAAGGCCGCTGTGTCTATGGAGGGAAGCTTTTTGGTTCGTCAAATATATGAGGACGAAATAACTTATAATTTGATAACGGCCGCCGTTGAAATACTTCGTAAGTAAACAGTTTATTTAGATTTCTTTGAAAAAGTAGTGCTTGCACTTATGTGTTCCGGTCGGAAGAGAATAGAGAGCCGGTATGTTGTTAGGCATTCTATTTAATTGCTCTGACGTGATCTGATATGAAGATTATATTTTATTATAAAATATTTTTACAATTTAGATACTGACATTTTAATGATCAGTGTCCTCTATAGTGGCAACTTCCGAATAAGTCAGCAATCATGTTGCATGCTAATACAGTCATTAACTCGTGTATTATTTATTCTGTGCTCGTGCTAACGCTTATCGTAGACAGTATACAAAGTATATTATATTGGTGGCTCATACGCAACCTGTACGTTTATTGGTATAGTTTCAGTGTAGGCTAGAATACGACAGATCTTTTTTAATTAAATTATAATTAAAGACACTTACCCTACCTGCTGTGTATGATATCATAAGATCGAAGGTTGACTAGAACGTAAAGTCTATAGATACGAATTGTTAAAAATTTGTCATTGTCTTTCTGTTAAATACCAGGACAACATGAGTGTTTATAGGAAAGAACCGGGAACGTGGTCCAACACTAATAAAACTTAAAACTATCGTTTAAATTTCATAAGCTCTTTCACAGTATAGTTTTAATTTAAGTCGATAAATATATTTTCAGAAATTCCAGCTGATGCAATTTTAGAGTCGTTCGGGAGAACTTTCTTCGAGTTCTGTCAGGACTCGGGGTATGATAAAATTCTCCAAGTTCTCGGAGCTAATCCTCGTGACTTTTTACAAGTACGTATTTAAATTATTTTAGACTGGAAGGAATTTATGGATAAAACTATCGGCTCCGGCAGAAGTTTTTTGCCCTTGCCAATATGTGGCACGAAGTGTTGCACTGCGGACTTTTTACACAGTCAATACTTCTGTACATGTAAATAATATTGAAGTATCGATAAACTGTAATATCAAAAAAATTGCCTCATATTGAGCTGAGAGAGTTATTTACATATAAGACATGAATAACTATTTTACAATTTTGTTTGTTTATCTGTCCGCCTGTCCGCGCTAATCTTGGAATAGCTGAACCTATTGTGATGAAACTTCACGAACAGATAGAAAGCAATGCCAGTAGTACAAGGCTATATTTTATTTGAAAATCTTTGAGATTTTTTTAATTATTGATCTCTGATTAGGTATTAGTAATCTAATTAACGACACATTAATTTTAATTTTATTAAATTAGCTGTGTCCGGTATGCGGTGCAATACCATTTTTGGCAGAACTATTCTCGGGGATGCCCAAGAGAAACACAAAACAGCGTTCTAAGATGAATGGTATAGGAACACAATGAAAACTATCAAACTAACATTAAATTCATGTCAGAAACCTTCGCGGGCGTGTACGCAACAATTCATTAGATGACATCATGATTGTATAAATATTATAGAAACACATACGAGACAAAAAATATTCATTTTTATATGTAGAAATAGTGCCAGATATAATTATTTTTGAAAGTATCTATTTGTATCGACTCTATATTTACCAAACTCTTTAGATAACATCAAAAACAAGTCCAAGTTTTTTTATTCAGTGCGAACGCAACAAATCTTAAAACTTGTTGCAAAATGTACACAGTTTTGTGAAGTACAAACGCAAGCACCAACACAACACTTGTGACTTATTATATACGACAAGTTTTGAAACATTACAAGTTGGATGTTTTGGGCGCAAACGCACGGTAACGCACACTGTATCAAAACAATTTTAAAAATAAAAATATAATATTATCAAATTATATAAGTGTATGTAAGGATAGTTTTTATACCGATAAGTTACCATCAACATTTTTTTATTGCGAATGTAATAATTTTTTAAAGGACAAAGGGTCGTCAGAAAAGGCAAAACAACGTCTGTCGGTCAAAACTTTTATAAAACTGGCTAACTTGAACCTGGAGGACTGTATTTAAATAATATGTTATTAGATTTTCCGTACACAGCTGTAAAACAATTTTAAATTATATGTCTCTAATTGCACTAGGTACACAGTTTTAATTACAAAGCCATTCGAAATGAAATCTCTTAATTACTAGCTTTTTTTTAAAGATATAAAATGAAGTCACGGCCTAAAAAGTTCGACTGCAGTGCACAGAATTCACATTCGTATTTTTGAAAGTGCTATAGAACTGCTGAAAGTGTGTTATTTTGCTTCTAGTGTGAACTTCAATGACTTATATTTTTTTACTATAATCTGATACCTGAGCAAATGTTTGTACTTATTTTTATTCAATTTGTAGCAACGGGCGCAGTAACTTTGGTAAATTGCCCTGCATTTCAATAGTTGTTACGCTCGAAAAATGCTGCACATCTCCTGGATTAGTTTTCCTTCGTCACCTCTTACGATACCCAGGGGATGATATGGGGTAATGGATATTTTTACAACACTATAAACGCACTGATATCTGCAGAGGAACCAGAATGACCGATATAGCCAACATATCAATCAGCTGAAGTAGCAAAAGACTAGATAGAGAAACTACCTGGTAAGAGATGCAGTAAGTCAATGGATGTAAGTGGTTCAGGACCGAGTGTTAAGGTGACATCAGTTTGAAAGTTTTAAATAAAAACCTCATTCAAACCATATCATAAATCTTATTAATAATGTAATATTTCTTATCTTTGTTTATATTGTACATTTAATTATTTATAGCAGCTTAATACTACTGTTTCGTATGGTGAGTGTAGAAAACCGGATACCTTTTTACTGGAAACGAGGAATTCCATCATAGTCTTCAGGGGTGACAACGCATCTGCATTTTGATTCTTAATCGAAGATTTTCTATGGGCCACAGCATTCTCTTACCATCACGTGGACTGTGTGCTCGTTTGTCACACCATTCTATAAAAAAATATTATTTAATTATATATGTTTTCAGAACCTAGATGGTCTACATGATCACCTGGGTACTTTGTATCCTGGAATGCGTTCACCGTCATTCCGATGCACTGAGAGACCCGAAGACGGTGCACTAGTGCTACATTACTACTCTGATAGACCTGGACTTGAGCATATAGTCATAGGAATCGTAAAGGTTAGATAGTTTTAATAATTAATTAAAATGTCATTACATGATAAATGAGTAAAAGTAAAAAAAAGTAAAGTTGCAGCCTATTTACGTCCCACTGCTGGGCACAGGCCTCCTCTCATTTCTGAGAGGGTTTTAGGGCAAGGAAATGTCCGCCGCGCTGCCCCAATGCGTGTTAGCGAACTTCACATATCTTCGAAATTTTTTTTTCTTATTTCTCAGACATGCTGATGCATGCATTCCTCACGATGTTTTCCTTCACCGCCGAGCACGTGGTAAATCAGCACTTAAAATTGCAATTAACAATTTCATTGGTGCCGGCGGGGATCGAACCTGGGTTGCTCGAGTACTGTGAAACTTACAGCGAGCGCTAACCATCTGAGCTACCAACCGATAAATGAGTATTAATAATTAATTTTATATTTCCTTTAAATGTATATTTTAAAGTGTAGTGGCGGTATGAGATTAACCACTACCCCATATTGGACCGTGGATGTCGTAAGAGGCGACAAGGGGAACAGGCCTGTAGATGGGCGGCAGTGTCTTCTTAATTACGAATAAAAAATTAAAAACCTGGCAACTATGGCAAATATCCCCTCTATGAGGCCATTCATGGGAGAGGCCTATATTCAGCAATGGACTTTTGACAGATTGTAATAGTATATTTTTAAACAAATTCACAAATTATAATCCTCGTCTCTATATAAAGAAGCGAAAGAGATATGTAAGGATCGTGACACTTGGCGATCTGTTCTCTCTGGCTACCCCGTCAGGGATTGTGCGTGTTGATAAGTTAAGTTAAGTCTCTATATGGGGTAGTGAAAGTTTTTAGCCCCTGATGTATCACGGCTCTACCCAACATGATCGTGATGAACTATAAGTTTTTATTATTTTATACATATAATCACTAGATTTAATACTGAATAATGTCCTCCATGCAGACCTTCGGTCATGTAGGCGAGTCGGAAGCTAACACTCTGCGCTTACTACATTTAACTGTTCAAAATTTGCTTTTATTTCCAGACAGTAGCCAGCAAGCTGCACAACACTGAGGTGAAAGTAGAAATTCTTAAAACGAAGGAAGAATGTGACCACGTCCAATTCCTTATCACGGAAACTTCTACTCCTAGCCGCGTCCCTGTACCGGAAATAGCTGAAATTGAGACCTTATCACTTGGTAAAACTTTGCTGCTTATTCCAAATTTGTTTATGTTAACTCGTTATTTCCTAACACGATTATCTTTCCTTAATTTTGCATCGGTCTGATCTGCTTATTTTAACCCATTCGCTGTCCCGTCGGATAGTGCATTAACATTGTCATACTATTGTGTCTGAAAATCGGACATTGAAATGTTTAATTTTTAAGTCATAAAGTACCAATGTTATGTTTAATTTTTATAAAAAAAAACAAACATCACAAATTGCTCAATGAAAAGCACCGCTTTGCTACAGCTATCAAATGGGTTGAGAAACGTTAACGTGGACGGACTCGGTGAAACTTTGTATTTCTGAATTGAAAATAGTCGTTTCGGACACATATCAAGCTGACAGCTTCACAAATATAAGAACCATAACAGTTCTATACGTGTTTATCCGAAGCCAATTGCTAACTAATGCCGTAGCGTGGACTCCTCATGAGGTCAAATATAGTCTTTCGTTGAAGGTACTCGTATATAAAAAACCAGTTCTGAAAATATCTATACTCTCAGTTATGTATTCATTTCCCTACTAGAAACGTATATTAGGATGGTATGAAACCCTTCATATGCAAGTCCGATTTGCAGGTTTTTTTAAATTAATTTAATAATCTTCGACCAATAATGGTACCAATTCATCCTAGTTATGCTAATTTAAAACTCACGCACGATTGAAGAATCATAGGCACAGAAAAATAATGAATATATCCCTTATAAAAAAATTCGCCTACGTGTCTACTGCATCGATTAATTAATTATTCAATCACTTTCCAGTCTATCTTCCTTTCTTGGTCGGAGATTAACACTTCGTACTTTCTTTCAGAACCAAAAGTAAGTCCAGCTACTTTCTGTCGTGTCTTTCCTTTCCATCTAATGTTCGACCGCGAACTTAACATTATTCAAGCAGGGCGTACCGTGTCTCGCCTCCTACCCAGGGTTACTAGACCTGGCTGTAAGATTACTGATGTTTTGGATACGGTAAGTTGTAAAGATATATTTTTATAGAATAAGGACAACAAACGAGCACACAGTCCACCTGATTGTAAGTCGATGATGAGACCCCTAGCCATCGACATCTACCCTCGATTAAGAATAAAAATACAGATGCGTTGTCACCCCTGAAGACTAAGATGAAATGCCTCGTTTCCAGTAAAAAGGGGCTCTGGTTCTCGATACACACCATACGAAACATGAAGCTGCGTAAAACGCTGGTATTCTGTGAGCGCGAGGTTCTTCCTCGATCGGAAAGACACAATCGTGCTACAACCATAATATAGATGCAGCATGGCTCTGCCACGTAAAAAGTTATGGAAGAAGTAATGAAAAGTTACTACTTTCTCATAAAATGAAAGCATGATAATTTTATAAGTGATACATACAATTATATGGAGTGTTAGGATAACTTTTCTGCCTATAATGTCTGTCTGGTTAGTGTAACACCCTCTTACTTATTATAGAGCCAGTATGAGTACAGGAGTACAGGCTGCAAAGCATTCCACTTTAGCCCTCAGTGATGGCAACAACTCAACTGTAGCTTTCTTTGTTTTGCTGCAAGTGTGCATGGGCTGCAGTAGTTTACGTGGACTGCTATTTCGTTTGTCACTTTAGTTTTATAAAAACAAAACATTTTATCAGTTAAAAGGTTAAAGCAGTTTCTTCTCATTCTTAATCAATTCGTATATTCCACTGACGAACATGGACAAGTTTTTATAACACCTGAAGGTTGTTTTTTTTTTAGTCGTGAATTTATTTTTTATAGCATAACGGTGACAAACGAGCACACAGTCCTCCTAATGGTAAGAGGATGCTGTGACCCATAGATATCTACATCTAACCTCAATAGAGAATCAAAACGCAGATGCGTTGTCACCTCTTAGAACTGTGTTGAATGCCGCGTTTCGAAATACAGCAGCATTAAGCTGCTTTTTTACGCTGACATTCTGTGTAAGCGTGATCCTTACCCGGTCGATCCCACCCATTCGTGCTACAACCATAATATAAATATATAGCTCTACCACGTAAATAAAGTAATGATTTATATTTAAGGTGCGTCCTCATTTGGAGATGACATTCCTGAATGTCCTTGCCCATATCAACACGGTTTACGTGTTGAAAACTAAACCCGAAGAAATGAATGCAACCGATCCACAGGAAGAAATTGCTTCTCTTCGCCTTAAGGTACAGATTTTTTGACTTTCAATGGAAAACCTAATAGTTAGAAAGGAAATATTCCGAACAATTAAGACCCTTATTAAAAGTCCAAGTAATTGTTTTTCTTGATATTTTATTAAATTTTGGTTTTAATATTCACAACAAAACATAAGCATAATTATTAGTTATTGTATTTCTGAAGTAGTTTCTAATAATATATAGTAATTAATTATTTTCAGGGACAAATGCTGTACATTCCAGAAACTGACGTCATTGTATTTCAGTGCTACCCTAGTGTGACCAACCTAGATGACTTGACACGGTAAATATGATACCATATCTTGTTTAATTTAAAAATAAATCAATGTGTAATTATTTTACCAACTTACTATATTAATAATCCTTTTGCTGATAAAAAAAATGTAGTATTTATTACTGTTTGTCTAATTTCTCTTACACACAGTCGCGGCCTCTGCATTTCTGATATTCCGTTGCACGATGCAACTCGGGACCTCGTATTGATGTCTGAACAATTCGAAGCGGACTACAAGCTTACCCAGAATTTGGAAGTGTTGACAGACAAGCTTCAACAAACATTCCGTGAACTGGACTCCGAGAAACAGAAAACAGACAGGTATTAATCAAATATACACTTATAATCGTCATCATTAATATTATTATTATCAATGCAGTCCACAGCACGTCCAATGCTGAAAATATGCCTTCTCCATAGATCGCAACAAAGCACAGTCTTGAGTTACCTCCATTTATCAATTTCCTGATATTTGACAGCGGCGTAAGTAAATCCTGCACTCCGTATTCCTTCATGGCTGCCGACAGTGGCTTAACTAGGAGATGAGTGGCAACATTTTCCTTAGGTACTTACTAGGTAATTGTAATGCCTTGTTTGTGGTTGCTACTCCCCTGCTAAGCCTGACAACTACGGCAAATAAATAAAATACGTGACACCTGAGTAACAAACACTATTTCTAAATACGGCTCCGTAGCGCAGTGGATTAGCAATGAGTTGCAGCGCTAAGGGTCGCGGTTTTGAATCCCACACGGAACAAGTATTTGTATCGCCTACAAAAATAACAATTGCACAGGGTCTGCTTGTTTGTTTTTGTTAAATTTATGTATGTAAACTATACCCCCACGATACATGAGAAAATTCTAGGGTGGAGGTTTTAAAGAAAAAAAATATATAAGGACTATATCACTTAGCGACAATTAAAAATAATGATCAGATTTTGGAATTATAATATGAGATTGAAAGATATTTCTTGATCTAATTGATTCATTTATTATAAGCACTGTGATTTGAAGCATTCATTGGGGCACATCCTATATCCAACAGAGGACTTGTGAAGGGCTGTAACGATAATGATGATTATGATGATTATAAATTATAACAAAAACAAGGTATTTTATTATCTAATTCATTTTAGGCTTCTATACTCTGTGCTGCCAATAAGCGTTGCTACTGAGCTTCGGCATCGCCGTCCGGTGCCTGCGCGTCGTTATGACCCCGTGACTCTTCTATTCAGCGGGATTGTTGGGTTCGCCAACTATTGCGCCAGACATACTGATCATAAAGGGGCCATGAAAATCGTTCGCATGCTTAACGACTTATATACAGCGTTTGACGTACTGACCGATCCCAAGAAGAACCCCAACGTTTACAAAGTAAGTGCCTGTATAAATATAATGAGTATTATTTTACAACATAGACGTGACAAAATAGCTTTCATTACATATATTGGGAAGGGACAACTACAGCTTGACGACAACTGGAGCAAAGAGGCTACACATTCCTCGTGACTGCTAGGAGCTAATATGGAAGACCTCATAGCTCAAACCGTTATCGTTAACGTTACCGTTACAGCCTCTTAAAGTCTACAGCTGAATATAGGCCTCCCCCATAGATTTCCTCAAAGGATTCCCCCCCTTTAAGGAAATCTATGCCATAGTTGCCACTCTTGGCAAGCGGGTTGGCAACCGCAGTTTTTAATCTTTAGTCCTTATTAGGAAGACGCTGCTGCCCATCCTCTGTCGCCTCTTACGATACCTACGGGATGATATGGGGTAGTGGATATTCTTACACGGTATATAATAGCTCAAACAATAGTATAACAAAACAACTAATAACAATACAACAACAACAATAAGTTAGGATTTTAGGTCTTAAGTTTAATCGTAAATTTCATTTGATGCGAGCAACTCGAGCATAGAAGATATTGTCAGTTCGTTTTAGCAAGCCTGTCTCACTCCCCACTTTAGGCATGAAAATATACCTACGCTGCGCGGCCCCGTACTAGGGGCTAATTCCGTGAGGTTGTCACTCGCGCGCTCGAACTGACGCGTGCCTTATGTCAATAAAAAAGTATTCTTGTATAAGTATTTAGGCATTTTATTTTTGAGTTTTGAGTCAAGTATGGCCTCTCAAAAAGCCAAAAGTTACTGCATAACATGCAGGTGCTTAAATAACTATAGGAATTTCGACTTTTCACTATTTAATGTTCCTAAGTATACCGAAAGGTAGGATATTATTATTTATAGGTAGATCTAGATAATTAGGTACCTAGTTACTGACGCCATTTTATTACAGATTTATTATTTGATTAGCGACCCAACCACAGCTTCGCAGTTTTCGATTTTTTCGTGTATAATGGCAATGACTTTAAAAATTCAGTATAAGTAGACCACGCAGTACTAGTGACTGCCTACTAATGAAAGATCAGTATATACTGGTTTATAGTTTAACACTTGGTCGATAAAAGAAAGAGGTTGAAAATAGCAGCACTTCTCATTCCCACTTTTTCATTAATAATTCCGGCGCGTTTCGCAAGTTTGTAAGTAACAAACAATGTGAAAGAGACAAGTGACGGCTCCGTGGCGCAGTGGCTTAGCAATGACTTGCAGCGCGAAGGGCCGCGGGTTCGAAACCCGAACGGAACAGGTATTTGTATGGTTTATAAATAATTGTTCTTGGTCTGGATATCTCTCCTTTTGAAATATATGTATGTAAACTGTCCCCTCGATACACGAGAGTGTCCCAGTGTGGAGGTAACGTTTTTTTTTTAAAAAGAGACAAGTAATGAAATAAAAAAACTTTGTGCAACCGACTTAAATATTTATATGGATTATAATACGCATTATTAAGGATAACTCCAAAACTACTGGTTAAATCTTGATCAAATTTATATGGGATGTATAGAATTATAAGCACCAACTTCCAAATAAAAAAATCATCAAGATCGATTCACCTAGAAAAAAATTCTGAGATAACACACATAAAAAATACAGTCGATTTTAGTGTTTCCTCCCTTTATTTGAAGTAAGTTAAAATGATAAATAGGCTTAATACGATAAAATGGTAAATATCTGATTTTCAAAGACGTTCACGTTGTTATATTCTTAATTTTTCTCGATGTTTTATATGAAACTTTCGTCACATTGAAGAAATTAATAATACATTGCACACCTCAGTGTATTCTATTACCAACTAATATCAAAACATTCAATTTGTTTTCTTACAACACCTAAGCCTACAGTAGGAGCGGCCTTAACAAAGGCGCGTAACGGGCTAAGTTTTATACGTGGTAGAGCCATGCTGCAGCTATATTAGTAGTATAGTTGTAGCACGAATGGGTCGGCTCGACCGGGGAAGGACCACGCTCTCACAGAATACCAGCGTAAAATAGCAGTTTAACACTGCTGTGTTTCGTATGGTGAGTGTAGAGAACCGGAGACCCTTTTTACTGGAAAAGAGGCATTCCAACTTAGTCCTCAAGGTTGACAACGCATCTGTATTTTGATTCGCAAATGAGGATAAATGTAGATGTCTATGGGTCACAGCAACCACTTACCATCAGGTGGACTGTGAGCTCGTTTGATACCCAATTCCTAAAAAAAATAGTGATACAGACTCTCGCACGCCGATTTAAGGTGCATTTTGATTTAACACGCATGCCGCATAATTTTTTTTCGATGATTTAATCGGTACGCTACTTCAACCAAGGTTGTATCCGAGGCATGATTAGTATTATGAACATTAGCGACGATGTAACTAGGTTTAAACTTGCAAGTTTGCTATCAGAGAGTAATCCTTCTGTTCTTGTACTTGTGATCCTACGTTTCTTGTCTGTTATTATTTATTATGTGGTTTTAGCAACCCGATTTTGATCACGCTGACACCAATTAAACTGTCGATTGCAATTAAATGCTGTTTTATCAAGTGCCGTCCATATTGAAAAAAGTACTTCAATGGCGTGTAAAATCGATTTAACTGAGTACAGCTGATTATCTGTTCATTACTCTATAATCCTCTCAGAAATGAGAGGAAATATGTGCCCATTAGTAATGTCCTCCAAACGTTATTCGATTTACAGCGGCAATCTATTTCCTTATTCTTACAGTCCGATGAGACGGCAACTCAATACGACTGTAGAGTAATCAGGCGCAGGACCAGCGGCTTTATGTTTTTTTGAGGCACATATTTTGAAAAACTTCCTCACTCCAGTCAGCTACTCATAAAATCTTGATAGAAAAACGACGTAACTGATACGCTACGACCTGGGATTAACGATTTAACACGATTAACGATTTAACTTACGACCACTAGACTAACCAGCTGTTACTTTTTTCTTGATATGATATTCGACTTTACTTGTAAATAGATATATCCGTAAAAAATATTAATATAAAACCATTTTAGGTGGAGACAGTCGGTGACAAATACATGGCAGTATCAGGACTTCCTGAATACCAAGTAGCACATGCAAAACACATTTCATTACTAGCGCTTGAAATGATGGATTTATCGAAGACTGTTACTGTTGACAACGAACCTGTTGTAAGTAGCAAATTTTTTGTCATTTTAGATAAGGCTTCATTTATCCTTCACTAAAGTATTGTTGTAAAAAGAAACATAAGTATAATAACAAAAAATAAAGTCACACTTAAATAGTTAGTATTTTTAAATTTGAACAGGGCATAACCATCGGCATTCATTCAGGAGAAGTGGTTACTGGTGTTATTGGTCATCGCATGCCACGCTATTGTCTTTTTGGCAACACTGTCAATTTAACAAGCCGATGCGAAACCACTGGTGTACCAGGAACTATTAATGTCAGCGAGGATACTTACAGGTAAAATAAAATACAAATATAACAAAATCACTTTAATCATCAAGTAAGTCCAAATATTTTTGTAACGATAATGGTATTGGTAATTTTTGTATACCAAAAGGCAATTCGAAATTTTCCCACAACATCTTTCGTATCAAACATCTGCATAGATGCTTTAATTCTACAGGTTGCAAGCCACAACGCGAGCTGGGTATCAAATGGTCCTCAAGTATTTCACCGTATTTTTCAAGTGCAATTTTTCTTTGATAATTATAATCATCCGGCAACTCCAAATGCTTGAATGCGGTTTTATCGACCGTTAAATTTAGTATCGGTACAGCTCTTAAAGATAATTTCAAACAAGTAACTAATTCATAAGGATATTTCCGATTATACTCTTTTAGCCTGTCCAGAATAGATTCTATGGGATTCGTAGAAACGTGATCAGACGTTATTCGAGCTCCAAATCTCAGTAATATCATTAAAATTTCAGCAGCCCCCATTTGTATTACAACTCTTACTGGAGATGCTTTACCACAGCTCTCTAAAGGAACATCTATAAAGCGATATGTTTTTTCACCTTCTTTGAACTCTAAATTAGCATTGGTTGCATGGTCAAGAAAAAAAACTAGGGCGTGAACGTTTTCTTCTTTATCCATGAAGTCCGATTTCCACCCTGCTAAGAAATACGGGGCTGATGTTCCAAATATTGCACCTGAAATAATTATTAATTTACAATTTCTTTATTCTTCATCAGTATGTTAGTCCACAGCTGGTCATGGGTCTCTCTCATTGTAGGAGGAATTTGCTTTAATTGTCACGCTTGGCTTCACCCCTCCCCCCCTTTCGTCGCATATCTGCGAATTTTCCATATGACGTAGATGTGGTGTTTACTTTGAGCAATAAAATCTTTCTAACATTTCGCTTTCTTGTCTCTTGCGAGACGGGCGTTATGAGGTGAAAGAATCTTTAAAATTATTTATTTTCTTAAGTTTAGTTTTATTCTGTTTATATAACAATTTTATGTGGAATATATAAAACCAGGCAAGCTCAACGTGGTCTGGTTTTTGTGTACTATTATAAGCCGGTTCTTGATGGTGAGTAGTGATGGACACGAAGATGGTAAAGCGCACTTACTTGACTTAACAAAAGCCTATTCATTCATGCCTTGAAAACACATACATTAAAATTGGATGAAAAGACAAATGCTATCAAGTTATTCCACTCCTTTGCTGTACACACTATGAACAACAAATAAAGGTTGTTTCGCAAGTAACTTGATTAAAGAACTCGTGGTATAAGCCACTAAATATGACATAAGGATATTATCTGCATGACTAAAATCGTATTTTGAAAACATGTGAATCTTCTACTCCAATACTTTTAATTCCCGTAGCCTAGTAAGTGCAGGAATTTTTTTTTTATTACATTAAGGAAGGCCTGCGCATATCTGTTGGACCTTTAAAGACTATACATTATTTAACTTTAACACTAATTCAGAATTAACTAAATATCAAGAATCGGTACTTCAAAACATGTCCCAGTTCTAAGTAAATTTGCCTACTACGCTGGGGCTTCTGATTTTGTATCTCTAGCTAACATTTCGGCAATAAAATAAATCCAGAATATTTGAGACTTCATTATGATGTTGAGGTAGGTGGTGACCTACCTCCGACAATATAGCATTAGTGAGTGGCTTAATATACACTTGTAGTACTACCATTGTTTTTTGTACAGTTACTAGGCATAGACCTACTCTCATTTTGAGGCATGAGACATGCAGGTTCAGGATCGCAAGGTAAATCAACACTTAAAATTGCAATTAAAATTTCATTGGTGCTAACGAGAAACAAAGCCGTGTTTCTCGCGTGCTATGAAATTTACGGCCAGCGCTTCACTTCTAAGCTACTACGACTCCTGCATTATATATTTGAAGATTATCACCATGATCATAGGCAACCATTACACCATCAATAGAAAAGGTACAATCTTACCAAGAAAAATTCTTTCGAATGTGCCTTCACAAGCGTAAAGTTCGTCTAGTAACGCAGCTACCACTCCATTATCTTGTAAACTCCAATCAAACGCCAATTTCATTGCTATATACAGTAAGTTATGATACTTTCCCATCAAACATATGTCACCATTATTAGATTTACACTTATTATGATATCGAAGAGTTGACGTAACGAAGTTCTTACACGTTACATTGTCTGATTTATTTTGCCCTGAAATAAATATTTCATTTAAATCATCAAATTAATACAATAATTTATACTGTAACAAATGACTCGCGACTTTGCTTTCAAGGAATTTTTTAATAATATTACAGTAACGAATGAGTTTACTGACAATACGATGGCAAGTACTGGCAAGGCAAACCACAAATGCAATGGACACAATTCAAAAGCAATACCGAATCAAACTATTAAACCCTTAGCAGTAGAGTACAGTTAAAAAGATTTTTAAGAAAAAAATATGAATATTTATTCTTAAAAGGTAAAACATTGATCATGATTAATTATAACATCCCTACCAAATGAAATCCAATAAATATACGTAAAGAAACCTTTTGCACATCCCGATATAACTGAATTGAAATACTCGACGAGTTCTCGCCTCCTGAATCTTTCGTTTAAGCTATCGCGGTCCATGTTACAGAATACTTCTTCAAAATAATAATCCATGAACGTATCCATATTAACTCTATAAATTTTATCACAAATTTTTGAAAGCAAAAGTGGTAGGTAAATATTTTATTTTGCACAAAAACTAAAGCATTTTTGCAATACTCGTAATTTGACTTTATTTTTTTATTTTTTAGACACTGTCAAATAACTAAGCCGAAAGAAAACTTATTTGTAAAAATAATTACAAAAACATTGTCACGCTCGCTTCCAACAATAGTTCGAATAGTTATAAACCGAAATCAGTTACAACGTCCCTCGCATTTAGTTAGAAAACTTTTAAGTGCATTGAAATCTTCTTAACGTCGGTTGTGTCGCTGGGAAGCCTACAAAGTGTATTCTATTTTAGTTCTTCATATCCTGACACATTATACGATGATAGGTATTATACTTTTATGCAGCTTGTATGTAGATTAAAGTATGGTATTAATCACGACTCAGTAGTTATGGAATATACGAGTAAAATCGTGGGTGACGGTTTAGAACCCCCAGCCGGAGAAAAAGTCAAAAATATTTGTTGGTGTTCGTGTACATGACTTTGTATCTTTTATCATATAATGTGTACCAGACCGAATTTCGGTCGCAGCGGCTAAAAGATTATAGTGCACGAGGGTGAGCGTAAGCACAGGTGCACTATCAATTCCTTCACTGTCAAAATTCCACCGGACGACCATCCCACACGATCGAAAAGAGGTCAGACACAAGACGCAATTTAGGTGCTTGCTTAGGCACGAGCGTTGAAAAACTGCCAATTTCCTGACTCCAGGCTGCTACAGAGATTCCTTTACAGAAACAGCCAACCAACCTCATGATGACTAGTCGCACTTACAACCACTAGACGAACGACGCAGTCCATTAATTTATCATAAGACTGTAAGCTTCGTTGTTTGGTGAGCCTGCATGTTCAGCGACTGTTGAGTTGGTAAACGGAGTCGATACTCTTGCATTGGTAATGCTGTTTCCCACTCTGTGAAGTTTAGGTTCAGTACTTTTGGATGGATTTTCCCGCAACCTATACCCTTCAGATCGGAACATAGCAGTGCAGACATTGCTATTTTGAAGCAGAAATATTTAACGTGGTAGAGCCATGCTGCAGCTAGATTACTGATATATGTAGCACAAATGGGTCGGCTCGACCGTGGAAGGACCACGGCGTCGTAAAATAGCAACTTAACGCAGCTGTGTGTTGTAAGGTGAGTGTAGAGAACCGGAGACCCTTTTTACTGGAAACGAGGCATTCTATCTTAGTCCTCACGGGTGACAACGCATCTGCATTATTATTCGTAATCGAGGATAGATGTAGATGTCTATGGGCCACTGCAACCACTTACCATCAGGTGGACTGTGTACTCGTTTGTCACGCTTATCCTATATAAGAAAAGAAATAGGTTAGAGAGAGAACCTACCCAGACCATCCAACAATTAATCGATGTAAGTTAAATTGCCGTTTAGAGACTCTTAAGCCCCGCACTGAGAATTATTCTTAATTTTATTGTGAATGATCCTTACACTTGGCATTATATTTTTGACCCTCTTAAAAATATCCGCGTAGTGATGTATTGTCATTGTTGCCTGTTTAAGCATAGTCATCGTCGTAGTAATTATTATCTACTACTTTTCTACCACACAGTTCATCGCTGAAAATATCGCTATCCATGGTCATCCTATACCTATCCGAGTCAGTGCATCTATCGACTGCTTGAATGTCTCATCAAGTAGTTAATCCTTGCAGTATGGAGTCACTTAGAACCATTCTTCCCCATCGGTTGTCGGTAATTCGAGCTACTCGGCCCATTACCACTGCACTTGCCACAGCTTACTGATCCGATGGGCTATGTTAGAAACTCTTGTTCGTCTTTAGATATCCTCGTTATGGACTTTATTCCGAAGTGAAATTTTGAACATAGCCATTCCATTCTATTTCCTTTCATCGCACATTGACGGCCTTTGAACTTCCAGATACAGCAAGCAGTGAAAGAACACGTTTCAGTTCCGTAAGTAATCACTGGTAACACGCAATTGCATAGTTATCACTTCTGCCTAATTTTGTTCATCATAATTTAGAGATACTGTAATAGTCCTATTTGTTAAAACCTAATCTTATTTCAACTAAGCATATATTAGTATACTCGTATTTTCGATCAATACTATCACAGTAGGTGGTATCATAGACGTCCACGACACACGAATATCAACCTTTAGGTGCCGAACATTGTGACAGAGTTAAACTAACCAATGACAGAATTAAGTGGAAGTGTAAAAAATGGGATTGTGAATCATCACCTGAACAGCAATTATGCGGTGAAAAAATGACTGATCAGTTAGTTACTTGGTATGAAAGTTATCGTAACTATAGTTATAACGAATTCAGTTTTTAGGGTTCCGTAGTTACATGTTGTGTAAACACATGTTGTGGAACCCTTATAGTTTCGTCATGTCCGTCCGTCCATTCGTCTGTCCGTCCGTCCGTCCGTCCGTCCGACCGCGGTTTTGCTAGGTGCTACAACTATGTAATTTTGCATAATTATAGATATTAATAACGCCTAGAAAACTGTGAAATAAAATCCTAATTTTTTTTTTTATTTTGGGTACCTCCCATACAGGTAAATGAAGGACGATTTTTTTTACCCGTCTACTCTCCATCAAGTGGGGTACCGTTGGATAAGTTTTTCAAAAACACTGGGTGTGTAAAACAATATCTTTTCGATTCAGGGGTCCATTTGAGAAATATTTAGCTTTAAAATGGTATGTTTCAAGACTCCACCAACTAAACCACTGTTTATGGAAATGTGAAATGTATACACGATAGTAGTATATATAATGAAGTTAAAAGAAAAACTATCACAGTTAAGTAGAATTAAGAAGTTAACGAGTAATAGTCGACGAACTTATAAAATGCACATATAGTAGAAATGGCGTTACAACTCCATAGAAAATGACCTCGAACTGGCTACATTATAACTTTTTAATGTTATTTTAAAATTTAAACTGTTAAAAATAAACATTTTATGAAGAAAACGACTTATATGCATTACTACTATAGCTTTACTTTTTCATTTTCGGGATAGACAGGGAGATCTTTCTTACTTACTTTTTTTATATAGGATAATGGTGACAAACGAGCACACAGTCCACCTGATGATAAGTGGTTGCTGCGGCCCATACATCTATCCTCTATTACAAATCAAAATGCAGATGCGTTTTCACCCGTGAGGACTAGGATGGAATGCCTCATTTCCAGTGAAAAGGGCCTCCGGCCACCTGCACTCACCAAGCGAAACGCAGAGGTAAACATCTACTTCACGCTGGTATTCTGTGAGGTCATGGTGCCACCTCGGTTCGAGCCGGCCCATCCGTGCGACAGCAAAAGCTGCCGCGTGGATCTACCACTGTTAAAACTTACTTACTACTATAATTAATAGAATCAGGCGTTATTTTGCGGAAATCCATTATGTAAAAGCATTTAAAAAAATTACTTCGCAAATATCCGCGTTATAAAATAAAATGATGTGTCTTACCTAGTATGAAGAGCACCTCCCTCCCTCCCTCCAGTGCACGCAATTGAGGGAGGGCGGGAGGTGCTCTTAATACTAGGTAAGACACATCATTTTATTTTATAACGCGGATATTTGCGAAGTAATTTTTTCTAAAAGCTTTTACTTACTACTTTCACTTATTTTTAGTTGGTTGTTACTGTAGACCTCATTAAAAGTATTCATACTATCATATTATAACCTAATACAGTTTTATTCGTCACACTCTTGGATAACGCGGGCTACCTCAGGATAATTTAGGGCAGTGGTGGTTTATGTGAAGGTTCGTTACAACCATATATGTATATTTTAGGGTTGCACTGCCGGGTATATATAGATAGATAGTCAACTATGATCATCTTTGTTCCTTGGCATGTATGTGAATGATTTGATGTAAATTGTATTATTTTCAAAGTGAATGATTTGATGTAAAGGCCTCTCCCGTTGTAGAATGGAAGCTTCTGTAGGACTTAAAATTGTGTGCGACCCAACGTGGCACTTAAATTGGTTAATTAACTATAAAACGAAAATTTATGCGATTATTTTTAAATTACAGTTACTTGATGGGAGAAGACAATTATGACGAGCAATTTGAGCTGACTTACCGCGGCCACGTTTCCATGAAAGGCAAGGCTGAGCCAATGCAGACTTGGTTCTTGACACGAAAGAAGATTTAAATTTATCTTTATGGCATCTATTTATATGCATCTGCCTAGATAATGTTTATTTATATTTTTAGTAAATGGTAAAAATTACGTGTAGGTATTATACCAAAGATTTTTCTTGATAATTCGATGTATAGGTGATTGATGTTCTCAAATCTGTTCCATTATAAAACTTTAACTTACTTCCTGTTTACCACTTATTTAAATATCATTAGTTTAGATATCATTAGTTTCTTTGAAGAACTGAATAGAATTATTTTCATAGATGAGGACTTTTGATCAAATTTGATTGATCTCCTTTTTTTTAATTTTTTTAATAAGTGTAAGCTCTACATAATTAAATTATTTTTTATGAGTATGAGCCGGTGGAGTGTTATTTTTTAAAATTAGGGGGGGACAAAACAAAACACTATCAACTTGATGGTAAGTGGATGCTATAGATGATAAATAGATATCAATATTACTCTTGGATTAAGAATATAAATATAAATGCAGATTCGTTGTCACCCCTAACGATTTATACATGTATATGGGTATTTATACATATTATATGTGTGGGTAGGTCGCGCTGCAGCGTGTTATGATGATCTAAGAAACAGAGGCATAATGCCACTATTTTACGTTCGTGTTCTGCGACCGTGGTTCTTTACCGGTCGACCCATTTGTACTGCATCATAATATAGCTGCAATGTAGCTCAACCATGTAAAAAAAATGATTTATTTATGTAGAATTACTTGTTACGTTGTGAATAAACTATATTTTATGATACTCAATGTATTACGAATTGTTAAACTAATATTTATACATGTTCTATTTATTAATGTAAAAATCCTATAAAATAGTAACAAAGTTATTTCTACTGTTTATTTTGTGTAGATACGGGATCCGTTTTTCGACTATATTTCTTTAATTTTACTATACTGTGTTTCCAAAATACTCAACGGAGACCTTGTTCTTATTTTTTCACCTTGTATATGGCTAAAATAGTCTTGGTCTATATCGCTAAATATACTAATATTGATGTTAATTGTAAAAACCAGAGAAGCTTATCAAAGCCTACGGTGTTTTCTTTGCTTGATATTCTATTGCCTTTTATATTAATGAACATCTAAAGTAGAAAGATAGAGAAACATGTATAGTAGAAACACTACATAGAGCATTTATGTCAAATAGCTCGAAATCAGATCTAAAGATTTTAATTACCTACTTATACTAAAACGTTTAGCAAATTAGATGATATCGCCGCTAAACGCGTTATAAAGTGTGCGCCCATTGGCTCACACTGGCTGACCTTTAGTTCCTAAATAAATATAACCTTACTTCTTGCGTAAACTTGTTTTAAATCTGGTATAATACAGTTACCGTTACCGTTAAAGCTCATGAAAAGTTGAATGATGTATAAGTAGCGGCACGAAAGTTTAGCGGTGACCGTTATTGCACATAAGTCGCGCTGATTGGCTCGTGCGTATCGTTCGCACGCGCTGATTGGCTCTCCAATAGCATTCATGCAATTCAATTTGTACGCGTCCCCTCCACGTTTCTTTCAGCGCTAGACTTACGTGCCGCGACATGTACATAGGCTCCATTCTCCACTTCACAGATACCAAACTTGGCAGACTGATTGGCAATCAAAGTTTTTATTGTTGAGTTGTTATCGGGAAGGAGCTGCTGTCCATCTTCTTGCTTTGTTACACTCTGTCGCCTCTTTCGACACCCACAAGACGATATGTGGTAGTGGTAATTCTTTTACTGCTTAATTTTTTAAATGGCCCTAAATTCGAAATTACAGTTATAACGTGGTGGCAAAGTGCATTGCGACGTAATCGCAGTGCTTCTGCGGTACTAATGCAACATCTTAGATACAAAAATCCGTTTTAACCCAAAAAGCACTTCTATTGCCAATGTTTTTCAAATTCAATGCGTTACGTACCTTGCGCTAATACACCTACTGCGTTGTAATGCGGTCGAGTGTCACCCATGCTGCGAAATCATTACGGTACTGTAGCGCTCGTGTTGCTCCGCTCTTATAATGAATATGGCCTACTATTCAAGCTAACATATTTAAATTATAAAAACGCGGCATATTATTTAAATAAATACACCGCTGCTTTATAATGTAAGTTAACGCACGTTGTTTAATCAAAATGAACTTTCATTCGGATATAAAAATGTTACTAAGGACATTCATATCTTATACACTTGGGTTATTGTATAATTATTAAATCGATTGCCATTCCTTATACAGTTACGTAATAATTTATTCCTTTTGGTATTACACATAAAAATACATTTCACAGGAAGCAAAAGCCTTTTTAGGAAACGCTGTTGGCACATAAATTTTGTGGAAACGTTGAAACACGTCCATATTTAAATTATGAAACACAAGCAACGAATTATTTTGTGTGATCTACAAACAATGAGGGCATACACGACTTTTTCTGCCACCAGGGCGGCGCCACTAGAAAGTAAGGTATAATATTTGACAAATTTCATAGCGGGGAAGTGAATTTATTCGGAAAATGTAAAGTTTATTGTTTCTTTCTGTACTGTTATCTATATTTATACTAATAAGATTAAAAATAAATAAACCAAACAACAGATATTCGTAAAAGTAGAAAAAATTTAAAAAAAGTTAAAAACGTGCAAAAAAATTAAAAAGCAAACCACTGACGCATTGTTTTGTATATTAACATAACACTCTAGAAACTGATAAACTTTCATTTGAAACTAACTTCTCAATTAAATTACATTGTGTAACAAAAAACTTTACCTCGGTGTCAACTAGCGACATCTGGTGAGCAGAAAATTATTAGCCCTCATTGTAGATATTTCTAATGGTTGAATTATTTGAGTTTATATAGATTTTCATTTTGTACCAGATGAGTTTTTTTTTTTTTATTATTAATGTTAAAAATATTAAAAATTAATTAGGTAAGATCTGTGTAATAATATAGGTTTATTTTTAACATCCTTAATATAATGTATATCCGCAAAGTAACGCCTGATTCCATTAATTATTATTAATATCTCTAGTCAATTTTCTTCTTATTTTTGTATAATTTAATATAATATTTTACATATATGTAACTGTACCTTTAATGAATTTCACGCTTATAGAGTAGAAAAATATGTAAATGCAATCTCATTACTTACTTATTAACGTAAAAAATATAGTATCTTGTAGAATATAGCAATTATGTATGGTCATTAAATTTTTGGAGAATAAATAAGTTGATGTGAAAATTTTTGTCTTTCATTTATATAAATATTTTATTTGAAACATACTTTAATGGACTGGGATATAATTGCAAAATTCTCAACCCAAACATACCAAGACTGCTGACTTCAAGTGACTATAAGTTCAATTTGCGTAGATCGAACCAAAAATTATTAATGATAAGCTGAAGGTAGCAGAGTTTAACTATAACATCAGGAAGTTGAACACCACAGTAGGCCGTGACTAAGGGCACTCGTAACACTCAAGCACTCGAAACGTCGGGAATATATAAAAGTAAGTAAATTAAACGCTATAAAATCCGTAAAAATATTTCTTTCAACCTTAGCGAATCTATTTTTCAAGCATCTCAATGTCATTAAGAAAACATTGTAAATACATTTTTATTGGCATCTAACCAATGCAACACCAAAATTACATATTTCGTGTTTAATATATGATTAATAATATCTGAAGTGGTTTATACCATACAATTATTCTTGTGCTAATCTAAAATATGCGACTGATGGTACAAAATCTATCCCATTCCCAACACGGTCTCAATCTTTTTTTTAAGGATTTACGGTGCCAACGAGCACATAGTCCACCTGATGGAAAGTAGATGTTGTGGTCCATAAACAGGCATATTTAATATATTCGTATAAGAATGAAAATACTAGAATCAAATAGCAGAAAAAAGATTCCCTGGTTTTCCATAAATTTTAACATACAAAACACAGTAGCATTATGCTGCTGTTTTACGGCTGACCCATTCATACTAATAGCCATAACATTACTATGTACCAAGTACTCAGTCTGCTGATCGGCAGCATTAATAGTAGGAGCTTATTAACTCTGAGCTCAACATCTAACAAGAGTACTGAGTAATTGGTATTTACGTGGCCACGCTGCTGCTATATGGGTCGGATTGACCAAGGATGGACCGCGCTCTCACGAAATTCTGACGTAAAATAGCAGCTTAATACTGCTGTGTTTCGTATGGTGAATGTAGGGAACCGGACACCCTTTTTACTAATATCGATGCATTCCATTTTACACGTGATAGAGCCATACTACAGCTATATTAGTAGTATAGTTGTAACACGAATGGGTCGGCTCGACCGGGGAAGGACCACGCTCTCACAGAATACCAGCGTAAAATAGCAGATTAACGCTGCTGTGTTTCGTATTGTGAGTGTGGAGAACCGGAGAACCTTTTTACTGGACAAGAGGCATTCCATCTTAGTCCACACAGGTGACAACGCATCTGCATTTTGAGTCTTTATTGAGGATAGATGTAGATGTCTATGGGTCACAGTAACCACTTACAATCAGGTAGACTGTGTGCTCGTTTGTCACCCTATCCTATAAAAAAAAAATTCCATCGTAGCTCTCAGGCGTGACAACGCATCTGCTTTTTGATTCTTAATCTAAGATAAATGTAGATATTTGTGGGACACAGCATCCACTCACCACCAGGTGGACTGTGTACTCGATTGTCGCACCAATTCTATAAAAAAATGTATATACGTAAATTAAAAAGTTATACGTCCTGCTGCTGGATACAGGCCTCCTCTGATGTCTGTGAAGGTTATGGATCTCTATGTCAAATTATTTAAGTGCATTTTTTTATAAAAAACTAAGTTTAAAATTTTTAGCTAAGGCTTAGCCTTAGTAAGGATTTAATCAAGCTGTGGATTCAAATCGTTCATAAATAAGAAGCAGATAGAAGTAACGCCTTTTCAAGGTTTTTTTAAAAAAAAAGAAAGGGTGATAAAGAAGCATACTGTTCATCTG